GAGGTCGGCTATGGTGTTGAGAGTCATGTACATTCGTCTTCGAGAGACGAAGTGAGCCTGTTGCGTGAACCAGCTGTCGGTAGGATAGTCGGGTAGAGTAGGCAGGGCGTTGGGCGCCAAACATAGAGGAGCGACTTTGGATACTGTGTTGGTGTGGCTTATGGGCTCGAACATTGGCTCATTACTTGATTGTATTGCTCTATATGGATGGTTTCTCGGTGCATTTCGTGCTCTCTGCTTGGACGCGACTACCTGGACATCTGTGTGATTTTGCAACTTAGTTTTCTGTATATTGTTCACACTCATATTCCTTGCACACACATGGACGGGGGGGACCCAGACCGGACTCGAACACACCTCCAACGCACAATGTTAGTCAAGTTATGGTCTCTATGCACGAAACTCCCACTAACTAGACACACAGCATGACACAATTTGTCAGGTGGAGTGAATTTCTGGAGAGAGAGAGAGGGAGGGAGAGAGAGAGAGAGAGAGAGAGAGAGAGAGAGAGAGAGAGAGAGAGAGAGAGAGAGAGAGAGAGAGTATCAGAATGGGACTGCAACGAGGAAATCAGCATAAAAAATGAAATCCATTATCAAAACAGAGAAGGTGTAGGCCCATAAATGGTGCAAAACTGAACTCCATATGCCCATAAATTTATGGGCATTGTTGCGCCAAACTTTATGGGTATTGTTACCCGATCGGACGTCAGGGACCCCCCTGACCATCCGGGATAAGGCATATATGCCCATAAAGTTATGGCCCGTGTATTGTAAAGTAGTAATCAAACTTCTTCAAAGCCTGTTGCCACTCTGGAGCTGATGCCTCAATGGTTAGGCTGCACCTTTACCGTCGTGACAAAAAGGCCATGCCTCCCTGGTTAGGCTGCACCTTTACCATCGAGACAAAAAGTCCACTGTTCTTCGCCCAAAAGGTGAAGTTCTCGACACTTCCTCTTCTCTCGACTGTTTTCAACTCAACGTCGGCAGGTGGGACCAGAGGGCTCATGTAGAGTTTTCTCGTTTTTTTTTTTTTTTTTTTTTTTTTTTTTTTTTTTTTTTTTTTTTTTTTTTTTTTTTTTTTTTTTTTTTTTTTTTTTTTTTCGTTTGTTTTCTCTTTTGAATTCTTCTTTTCGTAATATGCGGGAAGCCGAATCCATGCCAGCAATGTTTAGTTCCCTTTCCAGCAAACGCCAAGCTAAAGCAATGGAATAAAAAGCACACATCGTTATTTGGGAGGGCCTTGGTCATTAATAATGTGGTTCTGGCCGCACTTTGGTACAAATCGATTGTATGGCCCATGAGCGACGGGGGGCTTAGGTCACTCAAACAGCAGCTTGCAGCCTTCCTCTGGAGAGGGGACAGTAATGCCCCCCACGCAATTAGTCGAGTAGCTTGGGACTCAGTGATTCATCCCAAAACCAGAGGAGGACTAGGAATTGTGGACCCGGCCACTCAATCCCAGACTCTCACACTTCGCTGGGTTCAGCACATCATCCTTTCTCCGTCCTCCCCCTGGCCCCCACTGGCCCTGGCACAAATTGCTGCCCTGGCACCAGAGGCCCCCCCGGAGACTGACCCCCTGGTATGGCTACAAGACAGATACTAGAAGCTTCCAAGGTAAGACAAGACTGGGGACCCGGTGAGCACATTTTGGCTGCGTTTACTTCGCACATGGAGGAAACTCCCGCCGCCCGACCGGCCCAGTCCGGACCGTTGGGAAGAAATTTTCAGACAACCACTCTTTGGGAATCGTCTGATTACGGATGCTTCGGGCCAGGTAAGATGCAGCTCAAATGCCCCTTGGAAAGGTTGGGTCAAACATGGCGCCGGTACGGTAGGGGATCTATGGGATATAGAGGGAAGATGCTGGAAGAGTGCAAAAATGATGCGTGCATGGCTACGTTATTGCCATCGCACAGAAGCGACGCTAAACGAACTGATTGAAAGTCTCCCCCTCCAGTGGTATAGCATCCTTCGAAAAGGCCCTCAATTGAGAGAAGGAGACTGGGTTGGCCTGCCCAATCAGAAGGAGGAGATCGGGCAAGTACACGCTGTCGACCAGACACTGGCCCTAGTTGAGATTTTCGCCATCCAAAGGGATGGCTCTTTACGGGGCAGCCAGGATCCGTTTATTTGGATGGACAAAACGAACATATACCGCATCAGGGTTCTGGACAATGGCAGAGGACAATGTGCCTACCGCCCAACAACCCCGATTGAGGATCTCCCCTTCGACCCCGACGAGTGGCATTGGTCCCAAGTGGCCACGACTAGAAAAGGACCGACAAAACCACTAACACTACACACTCTAAAATCGAAATCAGTCTATCGTATGCTCCGCCCCAAACAAAGATTGCGGGAGACGGTTGAGGACAGGTGGTATCTACATCTAAATGTGGACCGAGACTTACTCAAGCCGATTCGTTGGTTCACTCAATTTAGGAATAGACCCGCTAAGATTTCGGCCCTCCAGTGGCAAATAGCCCACCGATGCCTGCCAACAAATGATTGGTTGATAGATCACACCCGTCTGGAGCAGCAAGGTCGGGCATTACCTTGGTGCCATAGTTGCCTATTGAATTATCCAAGGAGGAAAAGGGCCGAAACAATCGAACACATCTTCCTCCAATGTCCGGCTTTGGTTTTGCTCTGGAGGTTTTGGGACAGGATCTGGGGACACATAGTCCCCGGGGCAGAATGGCCATGGGAATGGAGGGCTATATTACTAGGACATTACCCCTCAATTCAGGGAGACACATTAGAAGAAAACATGTTTCATTTGGGCAGGCGGGTGGTCCTGTGGGTCATCTGGTGGAGACGATGCATTTTGGAAATGGAAGGGGCACGGGTCGAAGAAGGTGAAGTCACAGAACACTTACGCCCGTTAATTGAACATGAAATTGCGGCCCAATGGAAGGCGGCCAGAAACAAATTGGACCAAATGAATTCCTGGTCTGACATCAACAAGATCATATCCCGATTCAGTCAGAATTGGTTGGGAGGGGAAAGAAAAGGATGGGTGGCGGAGGTGAGATGGTCAAAGAATCGCCAGCCGGGAGGAGAGCCGCAAGAAGGACACCGGACGGAGATAGCAAGAGATTATCAGTTGATCTTCCATGACTGGACAAACCTCGATCCCGGCGAAAGGTTACGCCCGGCCCATGAATTTGCAGACCCCTTCCCCCCCCACCCAGTGGCACTGGAAGAGGCCCTCCCCCCATGATCATAGTATGCTGGTCTGAGCCTCCGCCCTGCTTCCCCCTTCGGTCTACTTGAGGCTTCCCTACCCCTGCTCCCTCCCCTACCCCTGATCCCTTCTGTTCTCCTCTGCCCCCTCGGTACCTCCTCGGTCTGTCCATCCCCGTTAATCTCGGCCTTTCAATACGAGCGCAGCTTAATGGTCAGCAGAAGGACAGCAGCAAATGGATACACAGCAGGTTGGATCAGATGAACAGAGCTGATATGGGACGCTGGACCCAGTTTCCAGCATAGGTAATGTATTGTCTGGCTCAGTTTCCTTCGGTGGTCTCAAATATATAGAGGGCCAGAAGGAGAACAGGTGGCTGTCCCCTTTACTACAAGCTTAGTTTAATGGACAGCAGAGACACAGCGGCAGATGGATACCCTGCAAGTTAGGCTGGATAAACAGAATTGCACGGTCCGTCTCAGCCTGAGTGTCCAAACAGGGTTGGCAGGGATGTTAGACTCGGGGCACGGGACACACCCCAGGGTAGGCAGGGATGCCGTACTCGGGACAAGGGACGCTGGACCCAGTTTCCAGCACTGGGGGGTCAGACTTTCGACATTATATTGTTCTGAAACTTTTGTAAATTTTTGTAAATTTTTCTACAAAATTCCTGGACGCCATGAGGACAGTAGGAGGGGAGCAGGATCTAGGGGAGGGAGGGAGGCTCCACCGGTGCCCCCCCGTGGGTCTCCCGCCAGTACCCGACGATGCTGCAGGCTAAGTAGGAAGAAAAAGGTCAGATATGGGACGCTGGACCCGTTTTCCAGCCAAATGGCGTCACCCTCAAGACTGTACTGTTACGAACAGATGTATTCACGGGACGCTGGGCCCGGTTCCCAGCAGGTGATGCTCCCCACCAATAGACGGAGCGGCCCGCCAGGCAAAGCCTCAATCCCGGTGGTTCTCTTACCACCACCAGGATAGAGGCCTTGTACAAGGGCCTGTTTCTCTTAAAAAAAAAAAAAAAAAAAAAGATTGAGGGTTCTGCAGAGGGCGTTGAGCCTGAGGGGGGGTGCGGGATTGTGAGGCTCCAGGCCTTGGCCGCCTACAGAAAATGTGCCTGGTCCAGCCCTAAGTGAACGCTGGCATGATACAGTTGGAAGGGAAGGATGGACCCAGCCTCTCCAGCTAACAAGTAGGCCCAGTCTCCGAGCTACCGTAGTTGCAGAGGCCAGGACCCAGGCCCGGACTCAGTTTGGTTCTCAGCTGTCCAACCACCGGCCTCCCAGGAGACTCCGAGACACAAAAGGAAGGAGGCCGTGAGGGCACTCCAAACATTCCGAGGCAGTCGGAGGCACTGGCTGCCAATGGTTCGGCATGAGCGCACGTACTACGAAGGACAGAAAGGACGGAGGAGGTGCAGGGGCAGCCTCCACAAGCTGCTCCGCCCAGAGGCAGCCATAGCTGGGCTGGCAGAGGAACTGAGTGGGCGCCGCGTCTCAGGCTTGGAGGGGAAGGACAGCCGTGAGGACAGCGGCAAGCACCGGCGGCGGTCCTGGCCTGGTGATGACCGAGGAGCACACTCGTGGTAGCCACAGTCTGCAGCATTGCTGGGCGAGAGAATAGTGGACACAGAGAGAGGGAGGGAGAGTAGTAGGAAATGTATAGAGAGAGAGTGGGAGAGTAGCATAGGCCGTCCCGTTATGGTAGAGCTGCTGCTACATTGTTGTTGTATTGATGATGAATGCCAGAAAATTGGGCCTTCTTTGTCAAAAAAAAAAAAAAAAAAAAAAAAAAGTTCCCTTTCTCACCATCCAATACCCGATCTCGATCTTGTGTCGTACCGCCAACCACAGCTGTATAGAGGTCAAGCACCAAAATTGCAAAAAAATGGCAGCAGTCAGTAAAGGCACAAGCATCACATGGGAAGAAGAATGCATCACTTGTTTTCTTTCTTTTGTTGTGTGTGTGCTGTCATGAGTTGAACATTTAAAATGTGCAGCTGTTGATTAAAAAGCCAGAGTTTTAGAGTTTAAAACCCCACATGGACCATATCCTGATAAATACTACAAACAACATTGGGGGCTGCCTACGTTCAAAACATGCAAAACTGAGGGCATGTGCGCGGCCCCGAGTCCATGCACACGTTTGTGACCTTTCTCTCCCTTTATGCCCAGTTCACTGTCCAGTTCCCTGTGTGGCAATGGGCCTTGCTCCACTAGACGACACTCTATATGTATCTGGAGCTCATAATTGCCCACATAGATTCATAACGTTGGACTCCACCCAATGCATCTCGTCCAGAAAGGTGTCCAAATGCATCTCGTCCAGAAAGGCGCCCAAATGCATCTCGTCCAAAAAAGCGTCCAAATGCATATAGAGTGTCGAGTAGTGGAGCAAGGACCGATATCTATACATGCTATACTTCCATACACGACTTCAGTAGCTCCCTGCGACAGTTCACAAGTCAGGTTTGGAGCAACAGTGGTTGCCTCCGTGGCCATCCATGCTAGGGCATGGTCTGCTCCAGTGCCAGTGGCATGTTTTGGAGTGTGTTTTATGGCTGTAGAAGATATTGCTTTGAGGCCTTGCTAGCTTTCTCCAGGGTGTGAACATACAGTCTGTAGAGCCTTCCATCTGATGTGTGTGTGTGTGTGTGTGTGTGTGTGTGTGTGTGTGTGTGTGTGTGTGTGTGCGCGTGTGTGTGTGTGGCTTTGCTGCCTTCTC